AGAAATACTGCACCAGGCTCACTGTAGAAAGATCTCACCAACACCACTACTCTGAAAGTGACATTAAGATTATTAAAGAAGCTGCAAGAAATGGGGGACAAATCGAAAATCAGGACAGCAATTAAACGATTAAGAAACACTACTATACAGCAAAAAATACACAAACAAACCAACCACACAACCACAACAAAAAAGCAGTTTCTCAAAACATTTTCTCCATCAAATGGGCAGGACTACAAATTGGATAATTTGTTCCTACTTGGATGATGTCATCATGCTAGGTTTAACTTCTTTTAATAACTAGTACATTTCAGTCATCTCTCACTTTCTCCCACATAAGATCAAACCAGCCTTTCAGTGACCTACTTCATGAGTCATAATTTTTCTGTTTATGATTCAGAAAAATGTCTTCAGTCAGTATTTCCCAGACTGCTGTGGGTTTATTCCAAGAACCAATTTCATCTTCATTGGTTTCCTACAGGAAACCAGACCAACTTCCTATTATTTTATTTTCCTTACTTTTAGCATACCCTAGCCCACATCAAATTAACTGGAAGTGAGAGTGATAGGAGACTTTACTCTGTACAAACAGAAGCCAACACAAACAATACCCAGTCTAGAAGTCACGGATTCAAATTAAATGCAAATATGTGCTAATATTAGAACCTTTTTTCAAAACGACACCAAACCAAATAACAAGAAATTTAATTAATCTTATGGCAAACATTACACTATCAGAAGTAACTTTTTTGTCTGAATAGATCTATGAATACAATAAATTCTACAAAGCTGATTAATACAGAGAAATCAACTACAAGAAACAAAATACGTATTTTTTTCATCCTAATTCCTTCCCTAACAAGCTACTAGAAAAAAAGCAAACAACTGCAACCCGCCATGGAGAGCCTTGGAGAGGTGAGGGAACACAGCAGCATGCCGCCAGCAAGGCAGGTGAGCAGTCTGTGCTCACACAGCGCCATCATCCCAAGCCCCTTCCCCACGCCTGCTCTGGCCATGATTAAGCCTGCCCACAGATCACAGCATAAACAGTGGTATGGAACAAGGGATTTTGAAGGACATTCTAAGAGGCACTTGTACTCATACTAAGTACTCAAGAAGTATTTATTATCTCAGACTATGTACCATTCAGAAAAAGAGGTTTCTGAATATCAAGAACTTTGATACAAACATGTACCAAATTCTCTTTCCATTCTTATAATTTCTGACTGCAGACATAGTTTTGGGCTTTAAAAGCTCATTAAGTCATTAACTAGTAAGTAACAGGATTATTTTACATCAAACTCAAAAACCTACACATTAAAAGGAGAAGGTATAAGAAGAAAGGATTTAAGGAACACATTCTATATGGATAAATCAAGAAACCTGAAACACAAGAACAAGGGTTCTCAAAGTGTGGTTCCCAGACCAGGGACAGCATCATCTGGACACATCCTAAAAATGCAAGTTCTAAGACCCCACCCTAGACCTAAAGAATCAAGGATTCTGAAGAGAGGCCTGACAACCCACACATGATGCTGCAAGCTTTATCTATCATATCCTCTCTTGTCCCTCTACATAAAAATTTCTGGAAAAAATGCATTCAACTTGCATTTCCCTTATAACCTCTCAACTTCTAAACCCCCGGAACACTGGCCAAGTTCGTCTGTCGCATCACTAAAATGTTCCTTTAAAAAGTAACAAATCCTCGCTGACCTAACTGGCAAGGCCGGTGACTCTTCCTGGTCCTCATTCTCCTAGCCTCATCCCCCCTTGCTTACATGGACCTAATTTCTTGACTGCCATGGCACAATCCCACCCTCTGCCCACTCGACTTCTGTCATCAGCCCTACTCATCCTCATCCCACCCTCTCACTAGCAGCATGTTTCCAAGATTCACTCTTCAGTCCTCTACCCATCTTTCTCCAGTTACTACTTGGCATCATGAAGACTTCAAGAGCTGGCCGGGCGCGGGGGCTCACGCCTGTAATCCCAGCACTATGGGAGGCCGAGGAGGGCGGATCACGAGGTCAGGAGATTGAGACCATCCAGGCTAACACAGTGAAACCCCGTCTCTACTAAAAATATAAAAAATTAGCCGGGCGAGGTGGTGGGCGCCTGTAGTCCCAGCTACTGAGGCTAAGGCAGGAGAATGGCAGGAACCCGGGAGGCGGAGCTTGCAGTGAGCCGAGATCGCGCCACCGCACTCCAGCCTGGGCGGCAGAGCGAGACTCTGTCTCAAAAAAAAAAAAAAGATTTCAAGAGCTGAATATACACATCTGTACCCTAGATTTCTCTCAAAACTCACAGCATATTTTAAGCTACTTTATAACCTGCTTCCCTTGAATGTCCTTCAAGTAATGCCAGTAAAATGTTTCCAAAAGGGAACTTATTTCTCCAATCCCACTCCGAAAGTTCCTCCTTGAATGTTGGTTTCTAGTACTGGTTCCACTGACCATCTGGTCCCCTGGTCACTGGAGCCCTGGGTTTCCCTCTTCTCTAGTGACCACATCAGTGCATAGAGAAGTCAGTTCCACCTGGCATCCTGTTTCGTTCCTCACTCCCACCCCCATTTCTAGTGACACCATTCTCATCCAGCAACTTTCTACCTCTTCTTAAGCCCTACCTCTAGACTCTTACCTCTAAAAGTCATCACTGAATGTATCTCCCCCCATTCAAAACATGGGTAGGCTGCCCAGGCACAGCCCAACTTCCTATCTGGCCTTACCTCACATTTCTCCTCATATTGGTTCTGCTCAGCTCATCTAGAATGTTCATGATGCTGCAAACATGTCCCAAGTTTTCTCACTTCTCTTTGGCTCATATTACCACCTCCATTTCAACTATTAGTTTCCCAGTGTGTCTGTAATTGTCCTCCCTATACCTCAACACTAGAGCCAGTGTCAATTCCACCTTGCACTATTCATAATTGTCTCAGACGGAAGTTCTCTCTTACCCTCCTCTAAAGAATCAGACATTTGTGCGAATCACCCCTACTAAAGTTGAAACCCCCACAGCAGAAGTGTATCTGACACATCTTTTTGTGTGTACCATGCATGATACCTTGCATGACGTATGCACTCAGTAAATATTTGTTGGAAGATTAAACGACCTTACAAACCAAAATTCTCACTAAGAGTACCATTTCTGCCCATTAACTAACCATTAAGAAAAGCAGCCAAAATATAATAAAAACAGATAAACTTCACATGCGTAGCAATGTAGAGGGAATCAACTCAAATTGCCTATGATTTCTATTACTTACGGTACAACCACACCAGAATGATAACAAAACACTATCATGATAACTACAACTAAGAAAACCAACTATAACACATTTCTGAACTATAAATATGTTTTGGAGAAAGGAAACAATCAGCCCATTTAATATTAAAATGACAAGGGGAAGGTCTTCTATAAATAAACCTTTATAAACATTTTCTGCATCTTTGATTACAATTTTTAGCTCCTACAGGTGATAAACTATCTATGATTACAAAGGAAACTTCTTAATCTAAAGGAAACTGAATAACAGAATGTTCATTCCAAAACATTCTGTTTTGTCTGGAAGATACTCTCATGGCTGATCAGGAAGGTCAAGAAGCAGCCAGATGAATTATAATGTGGAAGACAGACTGACTACCTCAATTAGGGAAAAATAAAGTCTTCATTCCTGGAATGATAAAAAGTCACCGCTTCTCTATAGGAAAGAAGGGATGCAATTTCTCAAGCACAGTATGCATGAAAGACTTTCCAAAATGAAAAAAACACACGGAGAATCATTTAGAAAAATAGCTCTGCTGTAACCTAAAGACCCTGATACCTTTCACAGACTTGGGTGAAAGTCTGAATATAGAACAGAATCATCACAGATTAAGAAAAGAAAAATGTTTTTTCACAGACAACACAGATATGAGGTATCTTTATTCATCAATATGTAGCCATCCTTCAAGGTTAACATTTGAAAGATGAAGACTGACAATCAGTTATAAGATTGAGTTTATTGCTATGTTTCTCTATGTTCTCCACTTGGTTTCATTTTATCTAGTTCATGATTTCTTCCTTCAACAAGCAGAGGTATATAGAATAGGCATTTAGCTTCCATTCTATGCAAAATTGGGATACAGAAAAATAGCCAATCACCTAAGAAAAACGTTCTGAGATAAGAGTCCTGTACTTGTTCATTAAATAGCAACAACAACAACAAAAAAGATACTCATAGATTTTCTGGACTTTTGGGGGGCTTTTATAACTTAAGAGTTACTTGCTTTTATTTCTAAGGTCCACTAACCATCCTGACTGAACAAGTATCTAAATAGAACTCCTATCATTTGTGGCTTCAGATTTCACTTATTCATGTGAGCAGGAGGACGCAGCAACAAAAACTTGAATTAAGCAGATCACTAGAACCCTAAGGATGGGCCTGTGATGTTTACCGTGATTCCTTCCACAGTGCGAATAGAGGGGAAATTCCATATTGGCTATATCACACTGAGGAGGAGGGAGACTAAAAAGCTTTCTTCTAATGATTTTCACTATTCACAATTAAAAAGTTAATTCAGCTAATTTTAACATATTATTGGGACTCAAAAATATTCTCTCAGCCAGTAATTCAGCCACTACCAAAAACTGATATTAAAATAAAGGTTTTACTTAGTTATATCTTCCAACATTTTAACAAAACATTTAATTCACAATCTGTTATTTGAAATGGCAAAAAACACATCCATGGGGCTCACGGCTACAGGGAACAACCCAAAATAAACAAATACTGCTATTTCAATATTAGTGGTAAGGTTTTATTATATTGTTCAATAAAAGACAAGAGACTTTTAAAAAATCTATAAGTACTTCAATTAGGATTAATACTCAAACTAACACTGACAATTCAACTTGAAGACTAAGACCGGTGATTATATTACTGTACTGAGAAGCAACAGACACAAGTAAAATACAGAACACCACAGAAACATAGCCAGAGAAATCATAATGAAAACGCTTACTTTGACATGGCTCTGGGCTCCAAGGTTGTAGATCTCCGTGGGCTTCACTTCATTAATGATCTTCACAAGGCAGGTACTGTCAGTGAGATCGCCATAGTGCAACTTCATGTCTTCAGGATATAAAAACATACCATTAGATAGAGAAAAGCAACATAAGCTCAATTTTTTAAAATATCAAAATTGATGTGCATATCTGGAAAGTCTGAAAACCAGGGTCAAAATGGAAATGCTGTACTGATGGTTCTGGAGTAGCAGAATATAACTGTAATCTTTAACCTAAATAATAGAAAGATAGCTACATAATGCCTATGTCTGTAAAAGATTTTGGTAGTAAACTCAGAGAAACTTTTTTTAAAGCATAGTATCATGAACATACTATACAATAACATATCTTAGGGCTCCAGGTGGTTGTAACATGTGTTCTGTAAGAATGAGACTCAAAAAAAGAAAACATTGTGATAACATGTATACCATCTAAAGAAATCTGCAACACTGATGATGATGAAGATGACTCTGTTTTCTTTAGACACTTTTATCTAGTAATTTTTAAGTACCTTATAAACATCAATCCGTAGGCCCTGCATGAATGCCTGATGTGGTGACATAACTGGTTAAAGGACAACTAGCCTATTTGACCTCCTAAATCTAAACAGACCCTTACACTGACTTCATTATACAAGAATTTGACACATGTGGAAGGGTGATTTACTAACTTGATATTGTCATCATTTTTACATAATATTGATCTACATCTAGATCCAATGGCAGGCCTGCTCTGACTTTTGCACATAAACATGAGCTTCAAAGACAATGCACTTAATGACTTAAAGTGGAAAGCCTTTTACTGGAGACTACTGCACCATCTTCCTGATGCTGTCACTATCTATACAAGTAACCCAAACCTTCAAATATGCAGGGGTTGAGGGGTGAACACAAAACCATATATGGTTTACAAGCTGAGTGTATTGTCCTTGCTGGCTGGAAAAACTGGCCACATAACGCAGGCTGAACTTGGAGTTAAAATCCCTGTGTCCTGGTGCCAGCTCTGCCTTCTTCACAGTGTGCAACCTCAGAAAATTCATAACCTCTCTATCTCCATTTCCTCAACTATAAAATGCTCTCTGGGTCTCCCTATCCACCTCAGGAGTTGCCATAAGTTCAAACAAGAAAACATTCGGCTTGTGCTATATAAACTGTACAGCTACATACAGACAAATTAACAAAAGCAGCAAAACAACTGCAAATACTGACAATGACAGTAATTTGGAACATTTTGATTGCCATTTATTTGGGCCTATCTTCACAAATCATTTTTTAAAATAATTAAATGTACAAAGATTGTTTAAGTTGATTAAATTGGACCAAATATAAAAAGTGGGTCAGTGCACTGTAAGTATGGAACTGCTCTTACTTGAAGGAATAAGGACACCTGCAGAGGGGTGATCAAAGGCATGCCCTTCCTTGGTCTCTCTAAGCCATCTACTCCACAGCCTTCTAACACCCAAACCATCGTGACACTATGGCCTAAGGCAGTGAGCAGAGAAGATTTTCAACATATGTAAATCGTATTCAGTGCAGTAATTCATGCATAAATAACTGTGACTTGTTGGGCACTGACAAAAATGATATTTGAAAACACCTTATCTGAATATAGGAACATCTGAAAATACGTTATAGAAAGAGATTCTAGAAAAAGAAAATCACTTACTTCCTTCAATGTGAGCCTGGGGATTCTTATACAGATGCTCAATTCGACCCGTATTAAATGAACTGGACCGCCGTACAATTCCATGGACCTGAGTTTTTACAGTGTGGAAAGATAAATGTGCAATGAGATAAACGACTTCTTTAGCTAATGTTTAGCTTTATGAAAAAAAATGATTTCTAAGCATCATTTTAAATTATTAGAAATAGTCCCACTGCTTACTTTCTCCCCAACCACTGTCCACCAGCTACCAACATCCTACCTCTGCCTTTCCCCAGTGATTTTACTGCCAATCTCAACAAACGTAATCAGGTAATTATGTGACTTCGTGCTTAGTTGTAGATACTCAAACATCTCCTTTTCCAAACACACACACTTACAGCCTAACTGCTGACAAAAATATCTCTTCCATTTGAAACTGAGGACAGACCATGTGAGGCCATATCGGTAAAACGGCGTTTGTAGCCTGCTTAACACAGAGCACAAGGCCATCACATCTTCTCAGTGTCCTCAGAGCTTGCATTCTGCATCTACTGTATGTATTTCTGGAGCCACAGACATAATCAGAGAGCAGATGTTATTATGCAGCTAAGTAGAAAAGACAGAAAGCTAAAGAGCATGGGTAAGAGACAACATTTATGTACTACTCGATTTAAGACCTAAAGAAAACTCAAATGAAGAGAGGATTTTTAAAATTTTTTTATCTTGACTTAACCATAGGTGGGGGGCGGGGTGAAAGTTGATAGAACAGGAATGTAATGCATACTTGCCTGATACTGAAGAAAAGACTATTTGTGTATGAAACATAGGAGAAATTGTTCCAGACCTGGTCCCACTTCCTTCTCATGTCAAGATTGCTCCCTTTGTGCTGCCAATGCTAACACCAGCTTATGTCACCAGCTGCCCTAGTTCCAGTTCTACTGGTGGCAGTTTTAATCCTTGACTTATTTTAGAAGTGTTCCTTCTTACGTTGAAAAGTTCATTTGCAGCTGAATATACTTCTATATTTTAACTCAATCGTTTCTATTTCAAACCAAAATTAATCCTTGGTATGACTCAAATATTCCAAATATGGAGGTAAATTATAAGAATATAAGACTTTCTTTCAAACAGAAAGAAATGTCATAATTTTAAATGGCATACATGAGAAATTGACTTCTGCAAAAGATACAACACACCCACAACTAATATTTCTGTTGGTGAGCTGCTTTGGGAGAAAAGCACTCATCAACATTATTTTCCAAAAGAACGAAACCCAAGAGAAGTTAGTAAACATGAAAATATTTTGGGAAAGGAACTTCACAAACTTGGTTGACATTTGAGGAGGCAAACATTCAACCTTAGGAAGCATTAAATTGAGATCTGGCTATACATACCTACTTCCTAATTTAGACATGGAGAAAACACTAGTATTAAGCTTATCTGTTCTACTTCATGATCTCCAATTTTTCAGGTTGCTAGTTAATTGTAAAGTTGAACTGCTCTACAAACTCAATTTTAACAAAAAGTATGTATTTCACATATATACTTATACATAGCAAAACTTGCGTTTACTATCAAAGTTACTTCTGAAATAGATTTCTCAGATGTAAATTCTGTTTTATTAAATAGAAAAGAATGTCTATGTTCTAAAAACAGTAATTTAACTTTGACAGTGAAAAGAATAACAATAGTGTTATTTAGGCTATCTTCTCTAGATTGCTGGATTCTGGGGAAGTCACATATTCCAGCAGCCCAAAATATAGAGAGATGCCATTTATTAATATGTATTCATTACATATAAATACAAAAAGCTTTGACAAAAATATGAAATGATTTTGATGCATTCCATGTGAAATGCAGACAACTACACGAAGTCACAGCCAATCACAACCAAGACTTTACTGTCACGTTAAAAATCAAAAGCATTAAGCACTGGTTGCTTTTTTTTTCAATCAAGTGTTTTAATTTCCTCTAACTCCCACCATTTGGTATGTGTACACACGGAAAGAAAGACCTGCCAAGTGCTTAATCCATGACAGCAGGTATTATTCTAAGAACTAATGAAAGCTAGGTCTGTCTGCTTCTGAGACAGGTGAAATACAGACTTCAACACAAGCCAAAATGTGTGCAAACTGCATAATCTAGTTAAGAATTTGAGATTAGCGGCTTTCTCTTTACAGAAGGGATGTAGATAGAGCTTTTTGTTTGTTTTTATAAGGATTTTTGGAGAAAAAGATATGAGGTATTAGGAACCAAACTGAAAAGATAAAAAAGCTGAATCTGGCTTATATAAACTTAATCAAAATCATTACAAAATTATAGTAGTTCAGACACAAAATATAATTCTGAAACACTCAGGTCTTATAATAAATGAAAATGAGTTTTTTGACAAATTTCATGTCCCACTTAACAAGGTGATAAAAAGAAAAATTTCAAGTTCTTTCCATTTAAAACAAAGTTGGTTTAACTTCAAAATCCACAGTCAGATCAGGAAAATAACAGAAATGCTTTATTATTTATTAATTATGATCAAGAAAATGGAAAATTATTATCACTGAATTTCAAATTCTTAGTGTCTAGATTTCTCTTGGAGGCAAGGATGACTCCCAGGGATGGTTAATGTCACTCACCTTTTGAAAAGTACAGATTATTTAAGTAATATCAATAGTTAACACTTACACAGCAATGATCATGTACTAGACACTGTTCTCTGTATGTATTAAATGACTTAATCATCACAACAACCTTACTATAATAATACTGGTCCCATTCCATGAATGAGAACATTGCCTGAGAGAACACAGCTAGTAAGCGGCAATGTTAAAGAACATAGACTCGGTCAACCCTGCCAACACTCAGTAGAGTTTCAAAATGAAATCCATAAAAGCTTCACCTTTTTTCTAATCAAAGTATAAAGGCTTCTGGGATAACAACCCAGAGGAAAAATAGTTGAAGGATTCTCATAGATTAAGAAAGAAGAGCAACTCCATGTTCTAACAAAAAATCTCCCAGAGATAACAATCGGACTATCCCTACATCCATTTCTTTTCTATGCTGATCCTTCATGTCACAATTTACCTATTATTTATTTTAAATTCTGATACATTGTGTTGTAGCTGTTACTAAGTTATTCAATACAGATTTGTCATATAGTCCCAGATTTTAGCTTTTAAAGGGTTCAACATTGTCTTTACTTCTCTGGTTTTCCTCTGTACTTAGTGCAAAATGGGTACAAAAGTGTGCTGTTGGTTTATCTGCTAACAGTGGTGCTGGAAACACACTTGGAACTAGAACGCGCTTTCATAAAAAGCTTCATTTCTGTCAATCCTCCGTTTTCCCTTATGACAGGAAGAAATGCAAACAGCTCCAGCATTCTAGGCAACAGAACATGCCTGCTACTCAGGAATGCTGATTAACGAATCCAACTAAAGAGCCGATTAAAGATCCGTGTCCACTGGCTTGTCCACATTAGACCGCATGTCACTCTGCCAGCTCCGTATCAATAAGCCCATGAGTCCCACAGAACTCCACTGGGCTAAGCATTTTCCACGTACTGTCTTATCTAATCTCCACAACCACCTCCGGAGATAGGTGTGCTTATCACCCCATTTACAGAAAAGGCAACTAAGTTTCAGAGGGGTCGAGTGACTTGCACAGGGTCACGGAGCCTGCAAGTGGCAGAGGAAGAGTGAGACACAGGTGTCCAGTGCCCAGCCTGAGGCTCCTTTGCCACAGCGAGCTAACCACCTTGTCCACCCCTCTGGCTCTGTACTGACAACAGGGATAAAGGAGAATGATCCTCTGCACTTCAGCAATGTGTAGGATTAAGTGTATAAAGTATCAAAGAGTGATTGTCCATAAAACCCAACAATTTTTGGGTTTCCTCATTATGAGATGACACCTTTAAGTAATAAAGAATGAATGAGTGTTACATCCATTCTCCTTATGCTCTCCTTAACATTTAATCCTGAGCAAAATTCAGGCAACAACATTTAAACCTGTCATTTTAAACTTCTAAATTAAGGCTTTTCTCAGTGAGAAGTAACCCTTCACTTTTTCACTTCAAACGGTTCATTCAGAGATGTGGATTTCAGGGGCCCCATTTGATGGCGAGGCCCCACGGCTTCAGGAATCTAAATGTGCGTGAGGTGATACAAAGTGATTAACCATAACTAATCAGTCTGTTAGTATACGCTATCGCTTTTCAAGTCATCCGCAAATGCCTATTTTTGCTTTAAGGCTAGCTAAGTTATTTGTACTTTCATTTTGCTTTTCTGATGGGAGAAAAAGTAAAGGAGTACGTCTAACTGCGCTACATGAATTCCATACACAGGGTTTGTTTTTGCCTACACCACCCATCATCACGACTCCACCAACCTAGCCCTGCCCTCCTGCACACTCCCCTCCAGGTGGCTGTGGCCTCTCCACATTGTCCATGCTTCCCAGTTTCAAAATGCACAATTGGCCTTACCACTGCTAACCAGCCAGTGTGCCTTGCTTTTCTAGAAAGAACAACTCAGCCTCAGCATCACGCCTCTTCTTCACAGGGCTGATCTGTTCCTGGTTTGTCCTCTGCCATCCCTAAGAAGGTTGTTTCCAGCTGTTCTGACCTTTGGAATATACCTCACACAAAGGCTAGATTCAACACGATACGTAACCCAGAGAAGCAAGGCCTCACAGATCTAAAACGTCTTAGGGTACCTTGTTCAACTTCATCATATGATTCAATCCATCACCTGATCTCATGTAAACCTTTAGTTGTGATGGTGTCTCTGTCTGTAGTACCCAGGCAAGCGATGTCACCCTGACTGGGGGCATGTTAGAAAGAACAGTTCCCAGAGCCCCGAACCAGCCCTTCTGTGTCTTAACAGGGCCTGATTCAGATGCACACTAAGGCTGGAGAGCCTGACGTCTCTAAGCATCCAAAATTGTTGCTGTTGACCACAACCACTGCCCCCCACCCCAAGTTCACATGTAATAAAATACATCCCTCTCTCATCCTACTTCATGCAATCTACTAATCCTATTCTTTTACTCATGGCCTTCAAAAATCAGGGATGCCGCTGATAAATCAGGAAATTTTCCAATGCAGCCAATTTGAAAAATTACTCTAACATTTACTTTGACGTAAGCATAAAAACATAAAGCCTGTGCCACCATCAGATTCCTCTTAATGGTTTATTCTCCAATTACACCAAACTCTTAAAATTGAGGACAGCAGCCTATTAAAATTGAATACAGTACGGATAAACACACTTACAGTCCCACAATATGCAGACAGCTCACATTTCCCCGGACTAGGAAGAGAATTAATTTCTGATTATGCTTTGTGGCTGTGTACTTTCCCGCTATAGTGTCAACCATGTTTCCTTCCATGAGTTTATGGATCTCTCTCTCCTAAACCTGTTTTCTCTCTCAACCATTGTTTCAGTGACAAATTCCTCCCATTAACTATGATTTGCCAAGTGGGCCTTCTATTGTCTTTTTGTATCAGAATAAAATCTGCTCTTACGATTTCAAATACCGCAAAAACATCTGCAGCTTATCAGGCAGTCCTAGACTCTTGTTACATCTATTTGCAAATCTCTCATCCTTCTTGTCTTCTGAAGTCTGCTAGTTCCTTAACAAGGGACACTTAAACAGAGATCTGCTTCTGTGCCTTTTCGAGTAACACTAACAGTACCACATGCTTGAGAATGGTTACCATCTACACATCCAAACTCGCTCTGTCACTGTCACTGGGTCTACCATCACTGCAGTGCACAGTCGTGCTCCCTCCTCCTCTGGACTAGACACAGGCGCTGCCTGTTAACACCACCCTCACCTCCAGTCTCAGCCCACCTTGTCCCCGGAAGAGCGGATCCCAACACTCATGTGGTTTTGAGCATCACTTCTGACATGCCACCTCACTCAAAATTGTTTCCTGTTGTGTTTCCATTTGCCCAAATTACACTCTTCACAAGTGCAGCAATTTCTGCTCCAGCTAGCTCCTTTCCTAGGTTCACTCAATACACAACATCACTAATTCCTCTCTAGCCACCAAACATCTCTCAGCTGGTCCCAAACATCTGAAACACAGTACGGGCATCTCTCTGCCAAGCTATTCCTTTTAATAGATATTCAGGCCTTAGGTTAATCTAGCCTGAATAAATATAGGTCTTTCTCTAAAACCAACACTTTGTACTACACATAACCTAGTCTAAAAGTCTCTGCTCTGTAGAATTTGTATTTCTTTCTCAATTATTATAGCAACTTATGCATATGGACATATGTATACACATGTACTTTCATAATTCCATTTGTTTTATTTCGATATAATTACAAAATGTAGCATTAGCTATTAGAAAAGGGTACAGAAGGTGCTAAACACATCTACTGTTACTTCTCCAAGTCTAAAAGTCAAGGCTCTCAGATTATGAGTTAAAAGAAATTAACTTTTTTTCTTCAAATAATGTTGGCATTTAGATGCCAAATTCTTTCCTGTTGTGTTTCCATTTGCCCAAATTACACATTTTTAAAACAATGTACCAACAATTAGAATAAACGGACAATCCTAAATTATTAATGTAAACATTCATAAAGCAGATCAGAGCATATGGGCCACTGTAAAGGTTTTTTTTTTTTTTTTCTGTTATAGCATGAATTTATATACGTGTATATATCTGAAAAACGTTCTTTAAAAAATTAAGTTGTACATACTTAGCACATCAAAATTAATATATAACTATTGTTTCTTTTAAAGTAAAGAGAAATGGTGAAGACAACGACAAAAGCAGCAAACCTAAAAGTTTCAGCTCCATAAAATATATGGTTGCCTTTTAGAAAGGAAAACCTCCAGGTATAAATTTTTCATTCGTTTGCCAACGATCAGCTTGGTTTTTATTGCTCTCTGTAATTTCTGAATTAAGTGACTTCACTGTGAGTAAGACTTTCTTATGAAACACATTACATCATAAATTAACCCGAATAATGTTACAGCTTCAGCTTGCACAGGCTGCTGCGTTATCGGAGAATGTGGGAAGTGTGCACCACAGCTGAACACTGTGAGTGCAGGGGAGCCACCAGTGCTCACCAGCAGATAAACAGCACAATGGGTTGGCAGGCTCACAAGCCCAGACACATTCTTCCCTGGATTCTGATTTGTTATCTGCGTTTCAGTGGAAAACACACTCAGGAGGACGGCAGCAGAGGAAGCATGTGGCCACCGCATGCGAGCAATCCCTCCAGCCTGCGCCTGCTTCCCATTGAGTCACCCACCTCATAGCCTTTCTCCAGCAGGAACTCAGCCAGGTAGGAACCATCCTGGGAAGAAAGGAAAAATTGCAAAACGTCAGTCTTATAGTGGTATAGAAAGGTGGTCGAGATGAAGAGCTTTGAGAAAAGCATTTAAAAGGCTACCTATAATGTCGATAGGGTGTTCCACTATACACAAAGCATTTTCACAAACAGTATTCATTTGAGCTCCACAGAAGACAGAGGATGAAAATGAAATCCAGGAAAGTGATAAGCATCAACAGACAGCATAAAGTTCCAGAATCAGATGGATTTGGGTTTAGGTTTTGCCACTTACTAGTTGTGTGAAACATGCAAAATATGGGGGCAGAATGCCTTGGTATCATAGCAACATAAAGAAATCTTAGTAATTCTGGGGGGTTGTTAAAAAAGATCATCGGGGGCCAGGCACAGTGGCTCACACCTGTAATCCCAGTACTTTGGGAGGTCAAGGCAGGAGGATCACTTGCACTCAAGAGTTGGAGACCAGCCTGAGCAACACAGTGAGACCCTACCACTATTAAAACAAAACAAAACAAAAAATTGGTGGAGATGGGGTCTCACTATGTTGCCCAGGCTGGTGTCAAACTCCTGGACACAAGTGTTCTTCCTACCTTGGCCTCCCAAATTGCTGATTACAGGTGTGAGCCACCATGCCCAGTCTAAAACATCTTTAAAAATTAGCCAGGCATGGTGGCTCATGCCTGTGGTACCAGCTACTTGGGAGGCTGAGGTGGGAGGATCATTTGAACCCGGGAGTTCAAGGCTGGAGTAAGCCATGATTGCAAAACTGCACTCCAGCCTGGGTAGCAGAGGGAGACCCTGTCTCCAGTGGGAAAGAGAAAAAGAACCACTGGGGAAGGGATCAGATGGGAGCTACGTGGGTTGGGGACATGGAAGGGTTAGTGTGAGGAGGAAAAGACTCCATGGCAGAATAAAGAAGGCCAGGGGACATGGAGGAAGGCAAGTACCTTTGGACAGCTGGCCTTTCCAGGCAATGGCCATAGCTGGCTGTTAACCCTAAAGGTTCTGGAAAATCACTGAAGGCTTGAAAGGGTTTTAAGGTGGCAGGGAGCAGGGATGGGGATCAGATTTGTATTACTATGCACACACACATATGAACTCTTAAAAAAAGAAGATATTCTCCTTTTTGTAAAATCATAAGCATTTCCTTTTTATTAATCTTAAATCAGATAGCTAATTCCTGCCTTAAAATGAAGGTATCCGACAAAATACAGAGATTCTCAACTGGTTCTTAATAATTATTTTTAAAATTTCTGGTAGGGGTCTTCATTTGACCTACTATATTTCGTGAGCCACTTTTAGACAGAAAGCATGAGAAACATATAATTAAATTATTTAATAGGTTGAAAGTTCAAAAATCACCATTCTGGAGGTGCTATAAAAAGTCACCAGCCTCTTAAACTGGTTAGACATTTTGCAGTCAATCCCATAATTGCTCCTCTGCTTTCTGCCCAACGAGAGGGTCCCCATCCATCTCATTTAGACTAAAAGATAAAAATGAGAAGCTCTAACCACTGGAAATTCGTGTCCTCAAAAGTGGTTGGGGATGGTTGGGTTTTCTTCAGTTTCTTCAACTTGAATAGGCTTTAAATATCCCTTTGAGCTTCAAAAGCTCCTACCAAATATTCCAGGAAAAAAAAAAAAAAAAAAAAAAACCTTTTTCTTATTACTTGACCAAAAGCTGGAATTGGAGATACCCTATGGGTCCTGAAAATGAAAGGACTGCCAAGCGAGTGTTTACTACATTAACGCAGAAGTCATGCATAAATTCAGGCAGAATGACAAGGCGAAGCATACAAGGAACACATTCTGTGGTTCATTAAAACCTGGAGCAGATTTTCTTCTTCTTCTTTTTCTTCTTCTTTTTTAAGATGGAATCTCGCTCTTTCACCCAGGCCGGAGTGCAGTGGTGTTAGCTCGGCTCACTGCAACCTCTGCCTCCGGGTTCAAGCGATTCTTGTGCCTCAGCCTCCTGAATAGCTGGGATCACAGGTGAGTGGCACCATCCCCAGCTAATGTTCGTATTTTTAGTAGAGACGGGTTTTCACCATGTTGGCAGGCTGATCTGGAACTCCAGACCTCATGTGATCTGCCTGCCTTGGCCTCCCAAAGGCTGGGATTCAGGCGTGAGCCACCATGCCAGGCCTAAAATCTCCAGCAGATTTTCTTCTGACTTCTTGAGGTAAATATTCCAGTTTGTAGATTCACGTGGAGAAGAGAAAATGTTTGGTATATTCTTTTTTAATCCCATTCTTACAATTCTTATGGTTTTTACATATCTAAAATATATGTGAGATAATGACACTGACCATTATTTAAGTTAGATAATGACACTGACCAATTCAGACCATGACAAGCCAAGTTGGGCTACCTAACCATTGAAAATGTTATTTAGGATAATCAATATCCCTATAAATCAATCAATGAGAAAACAGCTTAATAGAAAAATATTTGCAATAAGAATAACAATTTGGCAGTAGGTTGGAAAGCCACGTAAAGTACGATTTGGGCTTTGTTTCGCTATTCTTGTTTTGAAGCAGGCAACACTACACTTTTAATCATTCTCTTGGAATAAAAAGTTCGAATGCTTTGTGTTCTACCATAGCTACATTAAATGTTTAAAAAAAAAAAAAAAGCCAGAAGTAAACGTGCTGGAGATCCCTGAGGTGGGAGGAGCTGTGATTATTTAGAGAGCTGATGTGAAACAGACCTGACCAGGACTGAACCCTGTCAGTAAGGTCTTGTTCTTCTCACCCAGGCTGCTTCTCAGACTTTCCAACCACACTGGAACATTCTGAACCAGTAGTGGCACCGGCTTCCTCCTCGCTTCCTTGCCAGGCCTCTCGAGTGATAGGGCCTGGGCCGCACAATGAGTGGGAAACGAGCCGAGCGAGGGCTCCTGGTCCCCAGCCCAGGGGCCCAGCTGGCTGCCCCCTCGTCCTTTCCCCAGGCCCTGGGGACTCGAGGAGAGACACAGTATCTGAGCAGGCAGACGTCCGCCAAGCCAACAGGATGGTGGTTTCCGCCTCCTCTTGAAGCACAGGGCTGATAAAGAATGCTCCAATCAGACTAACGACTGAAATGTCATAGCAAATGAGAACCTACAACTACCATTAAGTTCTGACGCTTGACTCCTCTGAAACCAAGGAACAAATAGACTAAATCTGTAACTCACTCAGTATGAACACAATTAATCCGGTATAAAGTCCTGCCTAGGTTCAATCCTTGTTACAGAAAACTTTTTAATTGTAAAAATAATGTCCCAATGTGACCCTTTCAAGTTTAATTTCACAAACGGGCTATGAAGGGTATCTATTTTATATTAAATACCACACTATTTTGAGCAATCACCGTGGCTTTAACATTTTCAAGACACAGAAATATTTTCCTTTTTCTTTTTTTCTTTTTTTTTTTGAGACAGAATTTCGCTCTTGTTGCCCAGGCTGGAGTACAATAGCACAATTTCGGCTCACTGTGACCTCCACCTCCCGGGTTCAAGTGATTCTCCTGTCTCAGCCTCCTGAGTAACTGAGATTACAAGCGCCCACCACCACACTCAGCTAATTTTTTGTATTTTTAGTAGAGACAGGTTTCACCATGTTGGCCAGGCTGTTCTCAAACCCCTGACCTCAGGTGATCCACCTGCCTCGGCCTCTCAAAGTGCTGGGATTACAGGTGTGAGCCACCATCCTACTCTCACAAGAACAAAGCTAGGAAGGCGGGCAGATATTTGGCCTCTCGGGTAACTGAGGCACAGCGGGGGTTAGCCAACTTTTCTAATACCACACTAGTTACAGACCAAGCCAGGACTAGAATCCTAGCCATCCATCGTTTTGAAGTAGAAAATAATCTCCTTCCTTCCACTCCTCTACCTGGTACCAAAACATGTCAAAACCCAACAAAATAATAAAAGACTATAAAAGATGCATTTTCAAACCAAATTGATTCAGTCATTTTCCATTACAGGGCGTTTTATGATGCAACAGTGCTTCCAGTTTTAATCAGGTGACCCAAGCACAGAGAAGTCATGTAATTGTAGAACACTCCAGAGCTCAGAGGAGGGAGAAAGGACACAGCACCTGAGAATTTCCAGGTCTGGGTTCTGGGGGCACTTGCACTGCCCATGCAGTGGTTCAGTGTTGTTTGGAGGTGGATTTAGATTGCTGGTGGTTGTAAGTCCGGCTTTGGGGCCAAAGGGCAGGGCACCAGGGTCCCAAGGGGCCAGGTTTCAGTGTTCCCGATGCCTCTCCTGTTCTTCCAAGGGGATGGACCCTCACTTTTCATGGAGTACTCAGAAATGTTCCAGACAGAGTTACGTAAAAATTAAAGAGCAATTCCAAAATTCACAGAATCATGTTTTGACTACAGTATGACAACTACCTAAAATTTCACAACTGTGGAAAGCTGAGAGAAACACAGAAAGTTTCCCCCTTCTCTCAATGACCACAGGTGGCTGAAAAAAGACTGATCTCACATCCACACACACACACCCTACACACCCCATCCAAACACATTATGTATAAGGGCAAGCCATCCTCCTGCAACACAGAAAGACTAGTATTTTTCTCTTCTCTTCTAATACAGATGAATGAATAGCCCAGACAGACAAATGAAAAGGGAACTTTCTTATATGCAATGTGAGAACCTGGCCCCTCTGAACTGCATGCTAAATCATACTGTATGTTTCTACTTAAGCACCCTGTGGCAGCTTCTTTGAACAGGATAAGGTCATGGTACTGGGCTAAAGAAACCAAGCCACTAATAAAATGAATCTCTTTGTTTAGATCATCTCAAGCATCAGGAAATAGAATATCCCCTTCTGCAAGAAGAGAAAGCACTCGTTTGCACTGCCTTTTTATGTTCTTTAACTCTATGTTGTCTAATTACTCCTAAAACATCTTCCCAGCTAATTGGAATTACAATGTCAAGGTAATCTGTACCTCCAATAAGCAATACATGAACGCTTCAATGATTAACAAATGATGCTGTTTTGAATGAGACTGAAAGCTTCCAATGATTTAACCACTGCTGTGAAGAATACAGAGACAGAATATAATATAAAAGTATTTATACCTAGGTTATGTTTGTAA